TGGGCGTAGACCCCATTCCAGAAGCTCGTCTCCAGGTCGCGTTGAACCTTAGAATAAAAGTACAACCCAATTAATTGAACACCATTTAGCGTTTGGCTTCAGACTCCCTCTCATCGTGAACGAGTCGCCAACTTGGAGCGGGCGTCGCAGACATCGCATAAAATCTGAAAAAATCCTGGGTGTCGGTCGGCTTCATCGTCCTAGCACGCACATGGTGTCGTTGGTTCTGCGCCCAGTGCGAAAATCGGCAAAAGAAGCTGCAGCAGAAACGGGACGATGGCTAGCAAAGATCGTCTGCAGAACTTGGGATCCATTTTATAGTGCTTCTGCTATTTGTTATTTGCTATTTGATTTACGACGTTTGATCGGAAGAGATCATAAGCGCACCGCGTGTGGCTTTTGATCCTGAAATCGACCGGAATAGACCCGCAGTAACGTTCTATAGTTTAACGACCCTGAACGATCTATAATCCATTACGGAATGGCACGACGGGAGCGGATGTTGCGTCAAGTTCACTCGTTTTGCTTTGCCATCTTTTTCAGTCGAAGCGATCGGCTTTTGGGCGATACCTGGCTATCGACACCCAGCTGCTTCAAAACCTCGATTCCCGGACTCTCCGGTCCCTTTAGAGTGGTTCTGAAATTCGAGGAAGACTCAGAAGCCGTCACCCTGAAAGTTATAGCCATTTAAACCACAGCAATTCGACGAGTAATATCACCCTGGGAACCACCCTGGTCGACATGCAACTAAAGCCATAATTCCTTCCCAGCGGTTCCGATCGTTAAAAGTTGCATGTGAAGTTCCAAACGATTTGGCGTAGAACTTTGATTTGCGATCGGAAATTCAAAAAGTTCAAACTTTTTGGGGTTGTTTGGGGTCCGTTAGTCGCCTTACTTTACCCACCCCACTGCCCACAGCCGAAAGGTCACAGAGTTTTTGATATTGTCAATCTTTGTTCGGGATTTTCTCAACGCCATTCGATAGAGCGTCAAAAAATATCCCTAGAGTTTTAATTCCGCCCTAAAATAATGAGAGGGGGTAGAGTAAAACGGGGCCCGGATCCCTTATGAATTCGGCAAACATTTCCATTGACTACTTTGACGCAACTGACTACGACAAGATTCTGTCCTAACCGCAAACGATACGAGATCATATCGGTGTTGCTCGGGAAGCATAGTAGTCTTCAATGGCACATGTCCTAAGACTTAAGAGAAACCGCAGAAAAGCGACCGTCCCCCCGCGTACATTTCTTGAAATGACCAGATTTTATGCAAATCACGCATGTAAACCAAAAATACAGGGTGTCCCAATAAAAAACCCACCCCTCTAACTCGACGCAGAAGGATCGGATCGCAATGATAATTTATAGAAAAAAGGCGAGTTTGCAGCAGTCTTCAAAACCATGTATTTATTTAAACGCGCTATTTTACAAGCCGTTTTGTAAGATTTTCAGGTTTATTGCATGTATACGAGCTAATTCGCCGCAAGTTCTCCAAGCAAAATGACCAGAAGTTACCGTTGTTTAGATGCAGAGGGCGCTTCTTATGTTTTTAAATAAGCCATAAAATTACGCATTAAAACTATGACTTTGAAGATGCCTGTAAACTGGCCGTTTCAAGGGCTTTCGAATGGTGTAACTATCATTGCGATCCCCTACCTACGCGTAGAGTTAGACGAGGGTTTTTTTATTGGGGCAGCCTGTAGTTGCGCGATGCCAACAATATCGACCTGAATTCGTCTCCCTATGGTGGACAACTTCGTGAGCGTTGCGTGCGGCCGTCAATACCAAATCCATAGATGTGCCTTGACGATTCCTTTAAAACCACACCCCTGAGTGCCCCTGCAAAAAGCTCTGAATCACTCCCACTAAAACGTGCCAATTCGTGCCCCGTTTTCCCACCGGCAACGACCCGGCGCATTTGCATTTACACCCCGGTGTCGTCGTCGTCAATTTGTGAGAGGTGCGTGTCGTCGCGCGGGCCCTCGTAAATCAGGCACTGTCCGGTCCATAAAACGGGACCCCGCCTGGGAATTCTTTGGCATCGTCCTGCTTCGGCCCGTCGCTTCACTTATTTCGATTGCTGCCGTGCTTACGCGGGCTTCAACGCGGATATGAGAATTTTCGGGGCCGTGATTCTATTGGCGCTTCACGTAGCCGCGCAGGACGATGCGGATGATATGGTTGGGTTTTGGATACTCAACCAGAAAGTTTGAACCGGAACTTTAATTACGAGCCGTCAAGAAGGGTGCTCGGAGCGCTTCGGGACCATGGCAAAATCCATAAACCTACTTTGCCGGTTCCTTTAAAAAAAAGCGGAATCGTCTAAAACTTAGATAAATGGGGTTTTTCTTTTTTAACCTGCATCTTGGGAGCTAAACTGCTCCCAAGGCGCAGATGTTTGATTTTCTGGCCCGCCTGGCTGGGTTTCGGCTACCCCCCTTGCGCTCCCTCCCTTCACCGAAACGCGCGCAACCTGGCTGAATATGCCAAAAATCGTGCAAATAGCCGTTCCCCACTCTTTTTACTAAGGCGCCACTTTCAAAGTTAAATTTGATAATTTAAACGAAAACTTTTCGATAATTTTTTTATCAGTTTGGGGGGTTCTGACCGCGCTTTATCCAGCGAAGAGACCTAAGCTCTAGCTCCTTTCCACCTCGAGTTGAATTCGGCTGCGCGCAGACAGACAGACACCACAGCAAAATTATTATAGTTGAGAGCCCGGGTCCTTCGGTCCTCCTCTCACGACCACACGCGCGGGTGCAGCTCGCAAGAATGAGGAAATTTCTTTTCTTTAACATTATGCAAATTAGTCCAGCCAGACCCCCAAGAATGAATCAAACCTGCTGCAATTGTGTAAACTTGTGGTTTATCGGGATGCTAAAAACGCCATCGGAAATAGCAGTGCCGTTTCCCCGAAGTGATGGAGAATTAGAGCATTTTGCACAGGACGGGCATCAAATCGTGCCGCGAATGAGAAATCCACACACACGGAACTGGACGTCAAAATTATATAACGTCGGATTTCAGGGTCTAACCCAGCCGGGCGGTCCTCCTGACGGTGGCTACGATTCGCCAAATGTGCCGGCTTTCCCGCCCTTCGACCCGAACGCCCCATACATCCCGATCTCGGTGCCGGCTGATGGGGGTGCTGGCGGCACGATCATCACACAGGACGTGGGTTTCGACAGTAAAATAAATGTCGCGACGCAGCTTTTTTAGCGCTACAAGATAAAAAAATATGAAAACACTGTGCTACTTAAAATAAGGCGTATTAGATGGATAATTTCCGTCATAATCCCCGTTACAGATCTCAATCAACATCGATGCCGATGCGCTAATGGAGGCGTTGGGAATGGGTAAGGTCTAGGCTGCTTTAAAGGGACCGGCAAGGCATAGCTTTGGATTTTGTTCGGCCTGCGTTTTTGCTATTTGTACCGAGCCCGCAAGGCGCAACGCGAGCGATACTGAAAGAAACGCGGAAAAATCAGTATTGGACTGTCAGCGGGGAGGGATTTTGAGCAGGCGGAATCCAATTTAACCCAAGTAATCCGGTACGGCAGATAACGAAATTTAACTGATTTTTTAGTATTTTCTAGCGTCTTCTGGCAAACCTCCTACAATAATTATGAAATTTTTGGTCGGAGCTGTATGCTGAAATGACCCAAAAAGACAAAATTTTTTAAGTTAAAACTTTTGATAAGTTTTTAGCATTCCGAACCTACTAAAAATACTATAAAGATATATATTGATTATCAAATTTTGGGTAAAGGCGGCAAAACAAAGATTGCTTGACCTGCCAAAAGTCTTCCCGCTTCCTCCCCCCGATAACAGATCAGTGCCAAAGATCTACAGTCTGTTCTTGCCGACGCCTTTAGAAAGGATTGGAAACCTTTCTTTTTTCTCATAACCATCCATTTCAGGGAAAGGTGGCAAGGGCGGAAGCGGTGGTAATGGAGGGAGGGGCGGAAACGGTGGAAAAGGAGGAGGTCGCGGAGACGGCGGGAAAGGCGGCGGTGTCGGCAGTTGGACCGACGACAGCGACGAGGACAACGGAAGCGGGCAAAACGGGGATGGCAATAACGGCAAGAAAAGTGAGAATTTGGCGGCTACAAAGTATAGGGTGTCCCTCCTAACTCGACGCAGAAATATCGGGCCGTAGCCATGTTTTGATCATTCGAAAGCACTTGAAACGGCGAGTTTGAAAGAATCTTCAAAACTTGTTTTTATTTAAATACGCCATTTTATAGAGTTAAAAACATTGAAAGGGGGTTTAGCATCAAACCAAATCTTACTTCCGGTCATAGTGCTTCAGAAACTTGAGGTAAATTAGCTCGGATGCGACCCCGAAAAACCGCAAAACTTTACAAAATGGCTTCTAAAATGGCGGGTTTAAATATAAACATGGGTTTGAGCGATGTGGTAAACTCGCCGTTTAAAGGGCTTTCGAATGGTGCAACTACCTTTCCGATGCGATACTTTTGCGTCAAGTTAGAGGGGTGCTATTTCACTCGGACACCCTGTGACCCGTGTTTTTTTTCAGTTCGGTCGTGCAGTAGCCGCTCCTACGGAAAAACAGGCACGGTCGGTTATGTTAACAAGGCTGGACCGTAAGGACGAAAAATTGCAAACATTAAGCTTTTGAAACGCTGCCTTTAAAGGGGCAGGGAAGCCAAAAACTGGAAATACCAGATTGCTGCGTTGTAAAAACATTCATCAGAATGGGTCATTTTCAGTACATGACCGAATTGACGTTCTACGGATTCCGCGGCGCTGAGCTGTCGTCAAACCCGGATCGCTGTGTGGCCGCTTGCTACCAGGTGGCAGAGTGCCAAGGTCAGAAAAGCCCAAAGCGGGCGAGCACGCAGTCAACTAACGAATAGCAAAACGGCCCGGGGTTTGGAATGGCCGGTCTGACAAGAAGACGTTTTTAGGCTCTTCTGCAGATTTTCGGTGCCACATAAATGGCTCGATAAACCTTTAAATCCTAAAAAAAAATTCCCGGATTTCAAAAATTGCGAAGCGGATAGGGTTCTCAAAAAATTAAAAATCGCTTCTTGTAAGCACAAAAACTCGTCCTAATTAGCTACTACTTCATCATCCGGAAATGCCGTGGTGTCTACAAAAGTTCCGCCCAACCGGTTTTCTTTTTTGAACGCAATTCCTATGCAAATCGATGCAACGAAGATTGCGATCGTGGAAATTGTCTCGAAGTTTGAAAATGGTTATTAGCCAGAATTCTTAGCTGCAGTTATTTTGCGACCCAAAGTAATCTATTTTAAAGCGACTGACCAGGTGAGGCATTCTGAGATACTTTACGACATGTAGCACAGCGGGAGCCTAGGGCAGTAGTTGAAGCCTGCTGTAGGGCAAATAGGGCAATAAAAATGACTATAACTTTCAATACATCGATAGGTGTCGAGTGGTACAACGGCAAGTGCTACCGGGCCTGGTTCGAGCGCCGCGACAGGTTGCCGAGGACCCGTGGCAGTACCCAGCTGAGGACGCGTGGATGCTTCGGCAAAAGTCGGTCAAGTTTGAGGCCATTAGGGGTTTTAGTGGGATTTTGTCGCATGGGTTGCACGGAACGGAGACCGGGCGTTGCGTGACGTCTTTTTGGGATAATTAGAACAAGAAGAAGCTAGGCTCTGCCTCAGGTCGGCCGCCGGTAGTTGAGGGTCTATAGCACGTCGCTTTAAACAGAGGTGCAAGCCGCGCATGGGCGTATAAATCTATGAACATCTCTTACGCTCCCATTCTCTCTTCCTCTCGCTCTCGCTTTCTCTCACTCTCTTTCTCTCTCTGTCTCTAACGCTCTATCACTTTTCCTATATCTTGCTCATTCTTACTCGCACACACTCTCCCGCGCTGGTTCTCGCCGCTTTCTCTCTCTCTCTCGCTCTCTCACTCACTCTCTCTTTCTCTCTCTCTCTCGTTCTCCCTCTATCGCTCCCTCTCTATCTCTGGCTCCCCCACATTCGGCCAACCTCTCACCTCTCTCTCTCTCTCTCTCTCTCTCTCTCTCTCTCTCTCTCTCTCTATCTCTCCCTGACGCCCTCCGGCTCTCTGTCTCTCTCTCTCATCTCTTCTATTCCAATCTTTTCAGCCGAACTCCGCGGCCAACTCATCGGAATGCCGCGTTGGTGGGTGTACGCCGACCGTCAGCATCGCTGGACCAAAACCAGGCCGACCGGGGTTGGCCAGGTCAAGGCGGAAAATGGGTAAGGTATTACGTTTTTTGCTTCATGTCTTTCAGCCTATTCTGCGTGCTGCGCCAAAAGGTGGCCGGGTGCAACCTTGTCGCACTGACCATTCGAAATGGTGGGTACTAATTCTGAATTCAGAACGGCCAGCAAGTCAAGTTTTGCGTGTGCGAGGAAAGCGAAGCCAAAAAGCCAAGAAACGGAAAATTAAAACTAGCGACTCTTTAGATCAGGCCGGGAGAACCAAATTTTTCTTGGCGGTTGCGATTGACCTAGTATAATCAAATATGAAGCGATTTAACATTGTTTTTAGTAAGTTTTAACCATGTTTCAGTACAAAAACTTTCAAAAAAAAGTTAGCAAGGGTTTGGAAAAGTCGACAATTTGTCATTTTGGGCGAAAAAAATAATTTTTCAGCATGAAATCATCCTTCTAATCAAATTTTGTAAAATTTGTTTCGCTTAGAAATAATTAAAATCAGTGTAGAAACGCATTAGCTAGCTAGAATTAGGCAAAAATTTTGCTTCCCAAAGAATCAAATCGAAGCGTATCCCAAAGAACCAAATTAGCTCCCCCCCTTTAACAGCCAAGTACCAATATCATCGACACTTGAAAACACATTATCCATTTAGGCCGTCTAAACCTCGGCGGTACCGGAAGCGTCGTCGGCTACGTGGCAGAGACGATTGGGGAGTGTGGCGCCTTTCAGGTCGCCACCATAGTGCATATTTAGGATTTGCTATCATTTTGTAGAAATTTCGACAAAATGAATTTTGGCAAATTGATTTTCGACAAGATAAAAATAAGCCCATGTTTAGCACCCTTTCCATTTCGTTTTTAGGCAGTCAACGAATGGCAGCTGTCGCTTCCAAAACGTTGGTGGTTCCTCTTCAAAACATTGTCCTTGTTTCAGTCACCGATTTCGTGTACATCCCGCCACCCGGTCAGGGTCAGAAGACGTGGCGCAACAATGGACGGTTTGCACGGCCACGCAGCTGGAACTATTTCAATTCTAGCGTCTTCTACGTGTGGATCAACTCCGGCGGAGGGGTGCGGAACCTCGGAAATTGCCAGCCAAACGCCCCATAAACAAAAAAGGGCCATGGAAAGAATAAATCTGTGAAGCAAAAATACGAGCTATGACCCGGAAAAAAAGGAGCGGAGAGCGAGAGAGAGAGAGAGAGAGAGAGAGAGAGATAGACGATTCCGGAAGTGTACGATAGCAAAAATCTTACTCAGGAAAGCATGGGCGTTCAGATGTGTTATCTTGGAAACCCGTAGTCTAGTAATCAAAAGCCAAATCCCTCTGGTTCTCAACTCTGTCTGTTGGCACCTGTCCTCAAACCAAGTATTTTTTTGATGATTCTGAATTCCGGAGGATTTTTAACATGCCTTATCTAAAAGGCCATGTTTTTCTGAGTAAAAACCCGGGTTCTTTAGGGTTTCCGGGGGGGGGGAAGTATTTCCGGGGGAAACCAAATTTTTTCGGCCCAAGCCTAAATTTTTTTCTAAATAGCGCATGCGTTTCTAAATGGTTTTTAATTATTCCTGAGCATAAAAACTACCCACATTTTAATTAAAAAATTTAATTTTAGGTCCAAAAATCCTATAGAACCTTTAGGATTAGCGGGGGGGAAAGACCCAAAATGACCAATTTTCGACTTTTTCAAACATTTTTCTAACTTTTTTGAAAGGTTTTTCTACTTTAAATATAGTTAAAATTTACTAAAACAATGTGAAAACACTTTATATTTGATTACTAGGTCAACCGGGAAAAACAGGAAAAAATTTGGTTTCCCCCGGAAATACTTTCCCCCCCCCCGGAAATCCTAAAGAACCAAAACCCGCTACTGAACACAGAGAAAAAAGCGTTTGATACGCCTAAATTGATTCCCTATCACCTGTTCGAAAATCACCTGTTCGAAAAGACACCTGTTCGAAAAGTCGCCTGTTCGAAAACCATGTGTTCGAAAATGCTCATTTTTGGTACCATTTCTGGGCAATTCCACATGCAAATTTTTCGAACAGATGATTTTTCGAACAGGTGTCTTTTCGAACAGCTGATTTTCGAATACATGATTTTCGAACAGCTGATTTTCGAACAGATGATTTTCGAACAGGTGATCGGCCACCGCCTAAATTTGTGTAAAATACCACAGAAAGGACGCAAAGATAATCAAAACGATTGGGGTTAAAAACTTGTCATTTTAATCCTGGTTACTATTGAATTCAACGAATATTTGGAAAAAGTAGTAAGATTTCGAGTCTGAATGCCATGCGAATCCGCACTTAACATAGGAAATTTGAATCGAAAATACTTCCGGCGAGTTAGCAAAAGTGTGGCGAAAAAAAGATATTGCTCTCTCTCGGTTTCTACTAGCGCTGATGGTGCGGCACCGACCGCAGGAGGTTCGTTAATTCCGCTTTCGGAATTCTAATCACATGCAATTCAAATATCAAGGCCTTGGTGCAAACCTGCACCACTGCCGGTGCACTCAACGCTCACCAACGCTACCCGATTCAGGTGCATAGCGCTCCGGCGGCGGCCCTCGCGACAGCGAAAAGGTCAACTGAGGATTTTCAAGAAGTCGCCGGCTCCATCTACGTCAACCTCTACAATTACATCCGGGTGGTAAGGAACCAAGGAAAGGGAAATCAACTTTTTGGGGGAAAAGGGGGACTTTTTGAGGGGTATCTGGGGGGTAAAAGTGGGACTTTTCGGGGCTACCTGGGCAATGTCTTTGACGTATGAAGGCCTTGACTTTGCATAATTCCTCCAGAATACCGGTGACAAAATGAACTGGCCTTTGTTTTATTTAGGGCCTCAACGGTCCATTCGGCTTAAGTGCAGTTTACCCCCCGCCAGCCGAACCCCACCTACCGTATCTCGGTTCCATGTTGATATACAAGTGTGGAAAATATACCAAAACCAACCGCTTACAAGTGTGGCTTTGCGGCTGCAAGAGGCTGGACTTCAAGCCAACCCCTGCGCTCCCCCCTCGCCGAAACGCGCGCGACCTGGCTCACTATGCCCAAAATCGTGCAAACATCCGTTCCCCACTCATTTTATTAAGACCCAATTTCAAAATTAATTTTAATAATTTAGACGAAACTTTTTATAATTTTTTTTTTGATCGGTTCGGGGGATGCTGACCACGCTCTAACCGAATCCGAAGGGACCTAAGCTCTAGCTTCTTTCCCCTTCGAGTTGAATTCGGTTTCAGACACACACACTGACGCCTCAAGAAAATTATTATAGTTGATACTCGCAAGAGCAGGGCGGACATTTTGGTATATTCACACACCTGTAGATAAACAGGGGGCCGAGTTAAAAAAGTTGGGTGCCGGGGGGAAACCAAATTTTTTTTCGGCACAAGGCTAGATTTTTTTTATAAATTGCGGATGCGTTTCTAAATTTTTTTAACTATTCCTGAGCATAAAAAAATACACGCATTTTAACCAAAACAATTAAAAAAATCAAAATTTGGTCGAACAATCCTATAGAACCTTTAGGATTAGCGCGGGGGGGGACGACCCAAAATGACCAAATTTACGACTTTTTCAAACATTTTTCTAAATTTTTCTGAAAGTTATTCTGCTTTAAATATAGTTAAAACTTACTAAAGACAATTCGAAAACACTTTATATTTGAATTACTAGGTCAACCGGGACCACCAGGAAAAAATTGGTCCCCCCCCCCGGGATCCTAAAGAACCGCCTTTTACTTTAAAGAATGCAGAGAACGGGCTCGAACCTGATTTTTCGAGACATGGCCTCAGAGCTTCAGAAAGGTGATAATTTGAAAAGGAACATCGAAACTTGTGAGAAGAATAGAAGAAAACTAGTCAGAGCTAGAAAAGCCTTGCTTACGCGAAGTTGCAAAATTTAGTCGGGTTTGCAGAATTTGGAATGAAAAAGCGCATAAGCCTTCTAAACCGGGTTAGCCGGGTTACTTGGCACCGAAATTCGACAAAATAATGCTCCTGATTATAGGCTGGGGGCCACCACGAAGGCCTGGGTTCGCTGGTTAGCGTCGTCCAACCAGCTATCATGCTTTTTTCAGACCACATTCTACGCCTGCCTCGCACAGCCACTCCTGGCCGCGGATCATGGACCGCAGGAGGAGGTACCGCCTTGAATCAAGAATAAAAAATGATTTTAGCTGCACCGAGAGATCGCCAGCCGTCAAAACTTGACCAACAGACACGCTGGCGGCGGGCAAGGTCCGTTTTATACCAAAACCAGCGTTTTGCGTATAAGTTTTGACGGTACTGGTTCGCCGGGCGACAAACTTTTTTCGGCACAAGCCTAGATTTTTATCGAAATCGCGGCTGCAAATTTGTTAGATATTTCCGAACAGGCAAAATTTTATACGTTCAATAAACATTATATTTTCAGGCCGCAAAAATGATTGATGAGGCTCGAAATGATCGAAATTCCGAATTTTTCAATTACTTCTGAAATTTTAGGTCGAACAATCCTATAGAACCTTTAGGATTAGCGGGGGGGAAGTCCCAAAATGACCAAATTTACGACTTTTTCAAACATTTTTCAAACTTTTTTGAAAGGTTTTTCTACTTTAAATATAGTTAAATTTACTAAAAACACTGTGAAAACACTTTATATTTGATTACTAGGTCAACCGGGAAAACCAGGAAAAACTTTGGTTCCCCCGGAAATACATCCCCCCCCCCCGGAAATCCTAAAGAACCTTTAAACGAACTTTTTTCATATTTTTTGTCAGCTTTGGGGTTTCTGGCCACGCTCTATCCGAATCCGAAGAGACCTAAGTTCTAGCTCCTTTCCCCTTCGAGTTGAATTCGGCTTCACACACACACACGGACAGACACCTCTAGAAAATTGTTATAGTAGATAGATGAAGTGTAAATTGTAAATATCAAGATGGTTGCTTAAATCGAGAAGAAGTTACAACCGAAAAACGCTGGTCTCATAGTTTTTCCACAGAGTGTATACCGAAAATTTAAAGTTTCGGGCGCTTCGTCCCAAAATTTGACGAAAATATCCGTCAAGATTATTTTTCCAGGAGATTCGCCCATGCGCTCTTCCACCGCAACTGTGTCGCCTACGGAAACCTCGTCCACGGAAGACTCGTCCGGCCGCTCTTCCACCGCCACTGTTTCGGCCACGGATCACTCGCCCATCCGCTCGCGCACCGCCACTTTGTCATCAAGTCTGTCTTCCTTTGTCATTTTTATCAATAGCTTCTCTTATCTTAAATTACGGTGTTTTTCAAATAGGCGGGGGGAGGGAATTCAGGCGGGGGCACACTGCGTCTCTGCGCCCGCCCGGTTCTCTAGGCATCCCCTCTGCCTATAGTTCCACTTTCCCCCACCCGTCTAAATCCCCCCGTCAATTGTACCTTAAATTTTTTGATCCTTTATTCAATAGTACGGCTATGCTGACAGGAAAGGAACGTAACCGGACAAGGAACCTTCACCTTCAAATTCTGTCACAACCCCCCACCCCCAGCCCCCGACCTTTTTCGGTATATGTAGGCTGCGCGGGGGGACAGAACAGACATTCCGTTTTCGATCTTTCGTTATTTTCTTGGGATTTTTACAACGCTATTCGATAGAGCATTGAAAAGCTAGAAGTAATGTAGTATAAAAAAGTTATGGTAAAAACAAAAATAAACTTTTAAATGCGGATTGAGCGGCTGTTTTCAGAACTTGTCGCTATTTTTTTGAAATTTTAAAGACAGCTTCAACAGTCTCTCCACCCCCGCGTAAAATCCCCCCTCTCCCCGCATAGCCTACATACACCATTTTATCATTTATAGCAGGATAGCTAAAGGATTTCTACACGGTTTTTTATTCAACCGAAACGTAAGACCGTTACAAGTTTCTGTTAACGAGAAATATAAAATAGCGCGCGTACAAATGCGGTTGGAGCGGGCTTTTCTCTCTCTCTCTCTCTCTCTCTCTCTCTCTCTCTCTCTGTCTCTCTCGCTCTCTCTCTCTCCCTCTCTTCTCAGCAGGCGCGTTTTTTAGGCTTCTTCCTGTGGATCGTCTGGCTGCTCAGTGCGTGCGGCGCCAAGATGTTGGGCTGTGTCCGACGACTTTGGAACGGCCCCAGTGCTGACGCAAATGAGAAGAACCTTGTACGTCTTCCAATCATCGTGAGACGACCAGTCATTGCGTTTTAGGAAGAAGGTAAAGCCCAGGGCTCCGCGGCTGCGTGCTCCTCAACTACTTTCCCACCGCCTTCACAGGATCCGGGTACACGGCAGATGGCAGGCAACGAGCAACGAGCGCAAACGATGCAAGAACATTTTGAGGTAGCGGTCCGATGAAGCGCGAGGCGGTGGTTCGAACCCCATGATGCGCTCGTACTGTTTGTGTGTTTCTAACTAACTGTTAACGCCGGAGGGGGAGCCAGCTTTTCTCGAACTATCCGATTTTTCTAATACAAATAGAGGAAGCGTTCTAAACTGTTTCTTTTTGATTGGTCTTACCATACTATGGCATACAGGGTGTCCCAATAAAAAAGGTCACGCCGGCATTTTGTTATTTCAAATCCGATCGACCTGAAATTTGGAACAGAGTTGCGGAAGGGAATTTAAAATGTTCACAGAAACTTTCAGCCCGATCGGTACAGTGGTTTTCGAGTTATAGCAAAATAAACTTTATTTTACGTTTTTAACCTGGATTTCGCCGGAATTGAGTCTTGGAATGTATGGCAAAAATGAAGCGCCGACCCTTTATTACCCCAGAAAATTTTTTATTTCGTAAAATTCGTCTTGGAAATAGATTGTTTAAGTAATTTTAACAAGGTGTTATCATCCCCGATGTTAAGAAGAATGAGGAATTTAGGGCCGAAATTGATGGTAATTGATGCAAAGTCCAAAAAGATAGCCGATGAAATGAAGCAAAAGTGTTGAAAAAACTGTATTTTTGTTATAACTCGAAAACTACTGTACCGATCGGGCTGAAAGTTTCTGTGAATATTTTAAATTCCCTTCCGCAACTCTGTTCCAAATTTCAAATCGAACAGATTTGAAATGGCGAAATGCCAGCGTGACCTTTTTTATTGGGACACCCTGTATATCATAAAACCTGTTTGGTACTATCCCGAAACCTAAAATCTCTACAAAGAAATATCGGTTTTTCGACCTAAAAATGGCCGTATTTATGCATAATTTCGACTTTTAAAAAACTTTTTGAAAGTTTTTTAGATAGTTTTTTTAAACGTTATTTTGAGCACGTGTTTATGCTGCTATGGGATTGTTCCTAGTTTCAAGTAGTTTTCCTTACATAAAAAATTGATTAGAGCTGCCCCCGCAGGTGAAAGTCTGGGAAATACGTTGTCCGTTTATTGTTAGAATCGGCTCCGTCCGGAAAAGTTGTGGCTTATCACATGAAAGCTATATTTTAATTTTTTTTTTCAGCGTTTCCGCCGCGCGGCGACCAGGGACGGCCATCGCCAGGCCACGGAGCTCGGGCCATTAACCAACGTGGAGCGTGTAGAAGTCAGTCTGCACTGATAATTGGGAATTCCTGCAATCTCTAAATTCTAGGACAGGCGCCTTATTCGTGGCAAACCTTGACTATCTTAATTGCATTCATTGAAATCAATCCAAACACTGCGCATGGCTCTATTACCTTTTGAAAACATCCACGGGTTACAATTCACAGATGCGGGGGGTGGGCTTAGAGAACAGTGTGGGCGCAGACAAATAGATCCCCCACTCCCCGCCTATCTGAACGGCACATGTTCCCGGAATTTCGAGAGGCCAGCAATTGGCCAAAATTGGAAATGCACCCTTTTTCATTAACCTCTTTACAGTACATGGATCGATGCGAATTAGAGCTGACGGAGTACTACGGTGGCTTACGATTCAGTTTGCAAGACAGTATCCGAGCGTTGGATACATCTTTTGAGGCCGTAAGATCCTCCGAGGATGATTCTGACGCCGATATTTAGACCAAGGCGCAGAAAGTTGCACATCTGGCTCATCCGGCGACCATGCTGCAATTGACTTTGAGGGTAGTTAGCTTGTTGCTTTCCCTTCAGCTCGCTGTTCCAGTTGGATGCGGTGGAGGCCGCCGTCACCGCCGATCGAGGCAATATGAATTGGCGGGTGGGGTGGTTTTGTTCTTTTTGTTTTTTGAGTATGGGCGGTTGGGGAGAGTGGTGCCGACCTTTTTGTGCAAGCAGTGTCTACTAACTTTGTAGGAAGCGTTTCCCTAGCGTTTTTGGTAAAAAAACTATATTCCGACTAGAACAACCTTTAAAACATATCTTTGTGAAAATCGGCGTTCTTTTGCATTTCCGGGGGGGGGGGAGGGATCAACTTTTTTCTTAGAGTCTTGTTTTTTTTAATATGGAAAGTGGTAATGTTTCTAACTGGGTTTTCACTATTGCAAAAGGTGAAAACTTCACATATTTGTATTAAAAAAAAATCGCATAAACCACGACTTTTCGAGCAAAAAAAAGGCGATTTTTGGCCAAAATTGCGACTTTTTACTGAAATACTATTCAAGCGTTCTCCATTAACTTACGAGGCATTTCCAGGCTGATACAAAAAAGTTTGTTACTGGATACGTTACGATAAGGGCTCACAAGCCTAAACACTAGTCAAAAAATAATTAGCGAAAGAAACGTGTCGCGCAAGCTATACAGTGTTACAGGCCACGGTGCGAGCTCCCCCACCCGTTACACCACTACCGGTAATGTTTTAATCACTTTATGCGGGTTTGCTCCGGCGGACTTATTCGACCGCAGTCACGGAAATTTATGGGTTGACTTCATTTTTTCAGGCCCCATCGTCTCCCACAACATCCACAATGTCGACTGTGGAACCGGCTGTTGCCCCCCAGGTAGGGGGCTTTGCGTTTCGCGCTGTGTCTTTACTAACTATAAAGCCCCCTCGCTTGCGCTTAGCGCACTTGATGACGTCTCTATAAGAAAATTGCGTAGTTTTCGGGAGCAAATTACCGAAAATCGAAATCGAAAAATGCCGGAATTTCGAAATTGGTGAGAAAATATCTCCTCGCCGTTCTTTCGGATTACCGGGGTGGGGGGAGAAAATTTTTGTTCGTAAAATCGAATTTTGAATATAAATAGCCGGAGCTTTTCTAATATGATTTTGCTATTTCTAAACGTAAAAACCGTGCAGATTTTTATGACAAAATGCAAAAAGGACCGTTTTTTTGACGAAACATGACAGTTTTTAACCAAAAGTTCGGCTTTTGAAATTTTTTTGGAGGGTGGAAAATAGTTTTTTTTTTTTTAGCGCCATCGGCACTTCCTGAAAAATTTCGTTTTGCCTTGAAATCTAGTTGGTGCAAGCCGGCTTTTCTCAAAAATGCAAATGAAACGGCCACAAGGGGTTCCAAGCGTAACCTTATTCAAAAAGCAAAAATAATTGTTGCTGTGAGTTTAGAACTTTTGCCTGAATCGCAAAAAAAGTTCGGTAGGCCGCGGTGTTAGCCAGTGCGCGACGCTTACTGGTGTTGGGGAGAGGTCAGAGCGGCTCTTCCCCCCGGCGGCCATTCTGGGGGTGGCGCTAGCATCGTGGTCCAAAAATGCTGTTTTTAGTTTTTTAATTTTATAAAATCGGAGGCAGCCATTCCGCAAAAACGAACAACGGGAGCTTGTTCAGAATTGAATTCTCTATCGAATGAGCTAGGTCGCGAAAGGTTCTGCCGATGACACTAAAAGGGTACTCCTTGTAAAACTATACTTTTTTTCTAAACTAACATCGGCGACTTCTGATCGACATAAAAGCCTTCGGTATAGGATATAGGTATAGGAGTATAGGATAAAAAATCAGCCAGTTCACCTTGTTCAAAAACAATTCTTTAAAAAATGTAGTATTTTTATACAAATAAAATAAAACCACACAGGCAAATAAAACCAGTGTTATAACGTTTTAGAAAAATTAAAAAGTTTTGAAAATACTCGCTTTTTGATCAAAAACGCGTGGTAAATTTCCAATCACGGTAGATTTTAATTTTCAAAAATTCGTGTGGATTTGTTGAGGCAGAGTGGGTGCCGGACTTTTTGGGTTAAGACTAAAGATATCGGTACACTAAAATCTCGCTCAAAAGGTTCGGTCGCGGTAGGAAATTTGGGCTCTCTGCTACAGCCAACCCACCCTTCTTATCGCCTCTCCCCTTCCCCCCTCCCGTCTTTCCTTCGGCCTAGTGGTCCAAGGCGCTGCCCCAAGCTGGCAGGCAGGGTTCGGTTTTGCTCCGGGGCGAGCGCCTACCGTAACCCTGTTTGCTATCCCGCGGACGGTTACCGGCCGGCAGGCCCGTACGGGAGCCGAGATTTCGGGGGGCAGCCACCCAAAATTTTTGGCGACCTCCCCCCCCGTCGCCACTTTCAAAACTTTCAAAAATAGCGACAATAACGGCGCCGCAGGCGAAAAAATTTAGAAAACCGCGTTTGTAACGCTTAAATTCGTGTGAAAACGCATCGGGAACGACGCGCGCAAGCGAAATTTTGTTCAGCAAAAATGGTGCAATAATGAAAACGAGCGCCGCAGGCAGAAAAATTGTTGCGAAAAAAACATAAGGGTCCCCCCTTATGAACTTTTCGGACCTCGACCGATTTCGGGAGGGGCGGGGGCACCGTGCCCCCGGTGCCCCTCGTACGGGCCTGCCGGCCGGTAACCAAACCAACGACACTTTAGTGTACCTTTAATAGGAAGTGTTTTAATGGAATTTTAGTAAAATTAAAATACATTTTTTAACTATCTGAAAACTTTTCAAAAATCGAAATTTCGTCAAAAATTAGCCATTTCTGTTTATAATTATTAATGTTTATGTTTTTTATAATTTTAATAAAAATGTGTAAGGTTTTCACGTTTAGGGATAGCCAAAAACCGTTTAAAAACACTTTCACTATTTATGTTTGAGAAATTCAATTTGAAGAAAGAAAGTAGTTGCCCTCCCCTCGACTTCGATAATACGACATAGCCTAAAAAAAGATCTTCGACCTTCGAACCCGTAGGTGTTTGATAAAAGAATCTGGTTAAAATTCCTAGTTCATTTTGTTTGGAAAATGATGCCATCATTTTCGTTAAATGTGTTAAATGCGTTAAAAATATGCTCCATCTGCACAGAGCAAGAATGCAGATGCTCTACTTGAAGACGAATCGCCAATTTTAGGAAGTTCCTCCTCCCCCTGCCGGTCCTCCTCTTCATCCCCAGCCGGTAAGATAGGTTTTCAAAAAGGGTCTGGAGGGTTAGGTTAGTGCCATAAGTTTTCCGGCTTTAATATACCGCATAGAACCCTTTTCCGGTCAAAATTTTCACGCAAGTACAGTAGCGGTCAAAATGATGTCCCCTCGGGAGATCGCTTGGTGCTCTTAAACTACAGGCCCAAATTTTACGAAACGTCGTGTCTAAGCCAATTCGGCTGCGCAAAATCCGATGGCAACATTGAAATCAATTGAAAATTTTATTTTAATGGTCAAACTTCGATTTCAAAAAATCTGTAAAAATCAAGTTTTTCATGGGGGATTTTCGGGTTTCAAAAATGTGTCTATCGTGTTCGCAAGGGTCGAAAACCACTAGTCCGTTATTTTACGACATTTTTTCTGCCGGGGCCTGACCATCCTGACGGCCGAAAGTTGCTGTCGCGCGGGCCAAAATCCTTTGGATGGGCTTACGGGGGCCGGGAAAGCGCCCCGCGGCGACAATTTCTCGGCCTCATGATAGCGAACCTCAAAGAGATAAATGTTTTGAAACATGTTCGCGATAGGTTTTCGACCCTTGCGAACACGATGGACACATTTTTGAAACCCGAAAATCCCTCAGGAAAAAGTTCATTTTAGCGATTTTTTTTAAAAGTTAAAGTTTGATCACTAAAATCAAATTTTCAGCCGATTTCAAGTTTACCATCGGATTCTCCGTATCAAAATTGACCTAATGGCAAAGTTTCATAAAATTTGGGCCTGTGGTTTAAGAGCACCAAAGGATTTCCCGAGGGGCATCTTTTTGATCGCTACTGTATCTCATTCACAATTATAATGAATATTTTTAAGAAAACCCTACGAAAAACGTAAAGTAACTGTCGTTTGGATATAACTCGAATACCACTGTAGCAATCGGGTTGTAAGTCAAGTTCCTCGTTATTTCGGGTCTAATACATCTTTAGTCAATTTTTGTGACCAATCGGAAGTAATAGAGGCTATATGCCAAGGGGATTTTTTGGGGGCAACCGGTATCGATTAGGCGTAAATTTAGAGCCAGAAAACCTTATGCCAACCATGATCCGCTCCAACGATTGAACTTTCTAAACGCGTTCTGCGATTTCTTGGACACGGACGCCAATCAGCCAAGGAGTTTACCATTTTCTTTCTAGGCGGCCGTCGTCATGTATGCGTTGGTGGACGGCGGCGTGAACGGGCTGCCCAACGTAAGTAGCGTTCTGAATCGCATAGAAATTAGAAAAAACACGAAATTGCATCGGATTTTTTCACTTGGTTCTTTAGGATTTCCGGGGGGGGGGGGAAACCAAATTTTTTCCTGGTTTTCCCGGTTGACCTAGTAATCAAATATAAAGTGTTTTCACATTGTTTTTAGTAAATTTTAACTATATTTAAAGTAGAAAAACCTTTCAAAAAAGTTAGAAAAATGTTTGAAAAATTCGAAAATTTAGTCATTTTGGGTCTTTCCCCCCCGCTAATCCTAAAGGTTCAATAGGATTTTTCGACCTAAAACTAAATTTTTTAATTAAAATGTGGGTAGTTTTTATGCTCAGGACTAGTTAAAAACCATTTAGAAACCATGCGCTATTTAGAAAAAAAATTAGGCTCGGGCCGAAAAATTTGGTTTCCCGGAAGTACTTTCCCGGAAATCTAAAGAACCTTTCACTTTATCTTCCTCAGATAGAAGAGAAGAGCTTAAGCATGTTCGGATTGGGACTAATTTTTCTTATGAGTTCCGGCTTTTAGTAGGGTTTTTAGTAAAATGTTACGTGAGTTCCCCCAAGGCTATCAAAAGACATCGAAGCTTTTGCAGGCTGGGTCGAAAGTCTGTATTTTTGGTAGTTTGTTGCGTGTTGCGATGTTCTGGAGTAGTAAAAATACAGCTTAAATATTTCCTGGACTATTTTAGATATCCGAATATAAGGCAAAAGTTGCCCCTCCCCGGTAATGCAACAGGACCATAGAAGGGAGACCGGAGAAACTCTGGTTTCGCGCGACATTTTCAAAAGCGTGTTTGGAAGTGTGT